GCTTCGTTAGCCGAGCGCAGGCGCCCTGGGGAAGGGGCCGTGGGCCCCCCGGGCCGGCAGCGTCTCCAGGCCCGGCTCCGGGCCGTCGGCGATCGAGTGGGTTTCGGCGCCTCCAGATGCTGTCTGGAACGGTTCCTTGCAGCGAGTTCATTGAAATGCAATCCATGCAGAGTGTTCTCCACTGCCACTGATGTGTGGAAATCTCACAGAACCAAGAATGTGTTTTCTTCCTGGTAGCTGGTTGGGGGTGGGAGGGGATGCTTATTAGGAGTAATGGAAATTTTAGATGCCCGATGATAGATCCTAGGTAACAACGCAAAATGGATCCCCTCTCTACAACGCCAGCAGCGAAAGCACCGCTATAAATTTTGCGGTCTACGAATACTGCAAAGCAAAGAAGTTATTTTCCAGGGGCTGGGGCGAGATCAGGACAGCCAAGCAGTGCTTTGCACGAGGGAAACCGTTTGCTGTTCAAGCGTGCCCGTGGCACCCTCAGGAGAGGAAGTTTGGGAGCTGCTGGAGAAATGGGAAGCATTTGAGGTCCAAGGGCACCGTGAAGAGAACCCTCTCCCTCCTCTGCACCAGCTTCCTTGGCATCGCCAGGGCCTAAGGTTTAAGAGATTGTCCCCAAAGCCCCCATGTGCCGCACAACGCTTCATAATGCTGCCCATTCCGGGCAAGATTATCCACCCAGACATCCGTCCCACTGTGTGTTTTGATTTCCACAAGTGCAGTTTAATTACCTTTGTTCACCCTTCCAGCAAAGGGGGAAGCTGGTGGTGAACCAGAACTGAGTGCGAGAGGAAGCAATCAGCAAAAAGTGATTTGAGGACGCAGTGTCCAGTATGAAATCAAGTCTGCAGATGAAAGAAGCTGCAAAGTTTTGGTACAAAATGGGAAAGCGTGGGGAAAAGGTTTCAAGCGGTCATTACGCTGTGGGGGTTGGCGTGGTGAAGCAGCAGCTTTCGGGAGGGGAATAAAAGAGTTGTGACAATCTGGGGAGAAAAAAAACCTTTAAAAATATCAGTAGTGTGGTCAAAAGTAACTAGAGCTTGTAGCAAAGCAAGATCCTCCTACAGGAAACTTGCCAGCAGCAGTAGCAGGTGTTTGGCAGGAGGAAGATCCCCAAGAAGAGGTGAGTGATTCAGCATGCCTTACAGAAATGAAGGCTACATGATTTTCTGTCTCGTTCACCTGGCTGTAAAGTCAGCAGTACAGATTCGCGGCAGCAACATGCAGCCCCACAGGCACCTGGCTACGACTGAGGACTGTGTCACTTCAGGAGCTTTCCAGGATTTGTTGGCACCCGGGTGGCTTTTCTTCCCCGCGGGCCCCTTCTCTGACAGGCAGCTCGGACCCCCGAGGGCTGCCCCATGGCTGCTGAGCCGTCTCGTGACGCTGCCCCACACCTCCCTCGTGGGATCCCCACACCTCGCTCCCAGAGCTGGCTCTTCTAGAGCTCCTTCTGACAGTGCTAAGCCTAAGAGATGACCGTAAGGCACAACGCATATCTGGTCCAGAGTGAAACTTAACATTAGCTGTTAAATAGACCCAAACATACCTGTAAGAGCAAAGCAAAATTAAAGATTTTTTTTCAATTGTTGTTCCAGCAGAGCATACCTGTCACTCACAAACAGACTGATCCCCGAGGATTGGCACGTGGGCCAGTTGCTCCCTCTCAGCTGGGTCCTGCAGAAGAGCAGAGCCTTCCGGTGCCCTGCGGCTGCTCAGCATCTCCGCGTTCAGGAGCAAGGAGGGACATGCTGGAAGGAGGGTGAGAAAAGGGAAGCCTTGGTCAAGAGGGTCATGAAAAGCCCAGTAACTACCCAAACTCTGGAGCACTTTGATATCGTAACTTATTCATAACCTGCCCTAACATCAGAGCCAGCCCTGCTTTGGCTAAGAGGTCCCTTCTAGCTGAAACGGCTCGTTCCCCGTGGCGGCCTGGTAGCTATTTCCAGGGCGTTCCCCTGGGGCGCTTCCCATCTGAGATGGCTCCGGCGGAGAGCTCTTCCCGGGGCGCGTTGGGAGCTCGGGCAGGGACAGTGGCGGTGCAGGTACTGCCTTCCCTGACCAAGGCTGCCCAGGCCCCCCCTGCAAGGAGGCAGCCCCCCCGGGTGCGCAGGCTCCAGCGGGCATTCGTCAGCCGGGGGACGCCCCAGCGCCCGCACCACGAGCTTTCTTGCCCTTGCCGCAGCCCATGAAGAGCCCAGGCTCAGGGGCAGCGCGACCCCTCGGTGAGTCTACGTGGCCACCAACTCCAGCGGCAAGCGCTAAAGGGCTGGTTTCTGCTCACGCCTAACAGGGCGTCCAGGGCTGGGGCGGGGGGGGGGTCTGGCATCGCCAAGGGATATCACTAGTCCGAGCTACAGGCAATAAAATGCCTTGAATGATGCAGCAAAACAGACTGGAATCGCATGTCGAAATAAATCATCCATGGAAGCAGTGCACAGAGGAGGTGGTTTACTGCTATCTCTGCCTGCCTTTCAGATAAACCCTCGTTTTCCTCATGCCTCCCTGCATCTAGCAAACCTTCAGAAATCTCAGCAGGATGGTGAGAGACAAGAGGAGGATACGGTCGTTCCTTCGGCCCTAGCGGCAGCTCCCCAGCGTCCCCAGGAACCCGATGCGGTCCTTGAAGGGTGCCCCAAGGCCCCCGCTCTCCTGGGAGCTCGTTCTCCTGTCTCCTCCCATCTCCCTTGGTTTCACCTTGTAGCATTTAATGCACAGAACTGCCAGGAGTGATAAAATGGCTGTCCCCCAAAATTTATGGAGTTTATCTGTGAATAACTCTTGGAGGTGAAGTGGCCGTTGAGCTGGGGAGGAGGAGCTGTTTGTTTAGATAGAAACTCCCCCTAGCAGCACTGTAGTGCAGGCAGGAGCACGGCCCCGGTGGCTTTTGCGGCGCGGCCGGGTGCCCCGCACGCAGGCACGCGCATCCCAACGGGAGCACCGCCGGGCTGGTGACCCGCTTCCCGTATGCTGCATGACGCTGCCTCTCTACCTGGAGCCTCGTTTCACATCCACAGCACGTTTCTTAGGAGCGAAGTCATGAGGACGCTTTTGCACATCCCGGTCGCTCCTGCAGAGCGTGTTTAGCACTATGGCTACTACTGCTTTATCGGAGGACGGTGCTTCTCTGTACACGTGCGTCTGGGATTTCCGGTGCGGTTACACCTTGCTCTTTAGTCGCCATCCCCCTGCTCCGTTTCCACGAGGATCTTCTTCTCTCCTTCCCCCCGAAAGGAAGATTTTGTTGATCGCCTAGAGAGCAGCATCCAGGTGAACCACAGATTAAGCTGAGCTCTCGGTAAGCCTCCCCCCGCTCCTCCTTCCACGCTCTGCTGCAGTAACATCCATCATAAGTTTCTGAGACTCTTCTAATTTTGGAGGCCTTTAGCAAATCAGACTCCGCTGCAGCCAAACAGGACTGCCAATGTTTCCTTCCAAAGCTGGTTTCACTCTGAAGGACTCTTCTCCATGGTTTGCTCTGAATAGCGTGGTGCAAGGCTGTTACACCCAGCTTGTGTCCAGGGGAGTCCTTGTTGCTGCAAGGATTGGGTGATTCGTCGAGGGCAGTAAGACAGGCCAGCTCCGGGTGCAATCCCCACAGGAGCGGAGCCGCGCAGCAGGGAAAGCAGCCACGCTGTCTCCTGCCCTGTCTCCTCCATCTGCCGCGGCTGTGCCGCAGAGCAATGCGCCGGCAAGCCCCAGGTCACGCTAGGAGAAGGGATGTGTGCTTAGGCTGAAGACCAGGATGACATAATTTCCAAGCATCCTCGCACCGCTGCCACGCGCACCGGGGGCTCGCTGAGCGTGGGACGCAGGGCTCTCCTCCGAGGCAGGCGGGTGCTGGGGACCGGCCCTCGGAGCAGTCCCCGCGACGTGGGCTGCCGCTGTTCGCTCCGGTTACCCGTTACGCTGCTTCCCCTGCTGCCTTGCCTTCCCTCTTCCCCAGTCTTCTGGATATTTCATCTCCATAAATCATAAGCACTTCAGGGCAGGGACTGTCTGCAGCTCGGCACCGTACGGGAGCCAGCACAAGGGGCCCCATTCTTCATCGAGCCCCAGGCGTTACAGTAAAATATGGGTAGTAATTGGCACCGATGTTAGGGGGGAAGGCAGGAGGGGGTTACTGCCAAAAGGCGTATTTTTACAGCAAGACGTGGATAAATGTAGGCAAGTTATTTCATAAAAAGATCACAGCCAAAACAAGGCAGGAAACCAAGTGTTTTAGTATTTCACTGAAGTATTACACTTCCATCTGTGCTAAGCTGGTGGCTTGCTGACGATGGAGGGGATGCAGGGACGCCCCGCGCAGCACGCTGTGCCCCAGCCGGCCATCCCTCTTGGGCGGACTGGGGAGCCCCAAGACATGCTCCCAAGGGCCCTGTGTGCCCATGGCTTTGTGAAGCTAACAGCCACCTCAGTGTCCCCGGGCCCTCTTCGCCGTCGCCCTTTGCTGCCAAAACCCCTCGGGCAGAATCGGCTTTTGAAATGAGCAGTGAGGTCCCAGTTTCCAAAAACACCCAACGCTTGGAGCAGCTGCAAAAATGGCTTTTTCTAGCCAAAATACAGGCGGGAATCCCACATGCAAGGCATTAACTTCCACTACCGTGGGAAACGGTGTCCCCGGGGTGCGCCAAAGGGCAGGCCATGCTTGGGGCTGGGCTGCCGCTGCTTTGCGTCCTGCTTGCCCAGCCTAGCAGGGAGGGACGGCCGGTCCCTCCTGTGCGTGCCTACGCCGGCTGCCTGCCGGCGCTGGGGTGTGCAGGCATGGCCGTGACCCTTCCTGGCCTGCCACCGGCGATTGAGAGATGTCTCCAGGCTCTCTGCATTGCCCTGGCCTGCTTCCCTGCTACAAAACCCTTGGACCCATGCCCCAGGGGCTGCAGACAGCCATCATGATGTCAGCCAGTCAAGCAGTGGCCAGACATTGCAGTGGTTTCTACTCCCAGGCTTCAGAATCCACCTTATCAGCTGGGAAGCTGGCAGCAGAAAGAGCTTCACCCAAGAAATGAAGTCTTCTAAAAGCTGGACCGCCACCTGCTGTAGGAGGCAGTTTGCTGCATTGGAGGTTTCATAGCCCAAAGGCTGGCTGACTCCTCCAGCGCCTTGAACCAGCCTAGCTCGACCCAGATACCTTGACAGCCCATGGAGAGACCATCAGGGAAACATCCAGGCTTCCCTCCCCTCCCTCCCAAGCTCTCCTGGCACACTCGCAAGTCAATATGTTGTCCCTGACTCGCAAGTCAACGTGCTGTCCCTAATGTTGACTATAAAGACCCTGTTCCAGAGCTAATCTCTGCTCAACCCCAGCATGTTCCCCACCGTTCCCAGTTCAGGCCAGAAAAGCCCCTGACTCCCCACCAGAGGTGCAGGCAGGGATGGTCCCATGGCCTCCTCATTCCGGAGGGCTCAGGAGATGCTGCTCAGAGGACACCTTGCCGTAGGACACAGGAAGACGGGGCTGGGAACGGGCCATGCAGAGATGTTCCCCAGTGTGACGTTAGTGCCGGTGTCAGAGCCAGCCAGCGGCAGGGGATTTCCCCGTCTCTCTGCCCTACGCTCTCGGCACCAAGCCCACCCTTGCTCGGGGACCGTGCAGGAGCCGTTTCTCGCAGGCTGTTGGCAGCGCCTTTCGGTGCACCACTAAATCCATATTTCCCTCCCTTCCCACGCCGGCCTCTCCCTTTCTGTTGTCAGGGAATCTTTAATGCAGCAGATCTGGCTGGATTTAGCCTGTAATTGTTATAATAGCTCTTCGGAGAAGAAAAGGACAGACAAGTCTGTGGAAAAACCAGAGCCGCCGAGGTCAGAGCGCTGGTAGGTGTTAGCGCTTTGAAAAACCCAATTGCTTCTTCAGTTCACCAGATTCAGGAAAATGAAGCTGAAGTGTGAAAAATGAAAGTGAAAAGATAGGAACCAACCCACGGCTATTTATTCTAAAAATACTGACCTAAATACTTAAGCGCATATATAAGAGTAGTTGTCTTTTCTTATTTCCTTTACGAAAATCTCTTGTTTTGGCTATTATTTTGCTTAGAAGCCAAAGGACGAGGCCTCTCAAAGACACCGAGAACGTCTCCTCACCTGGCACTCGTAAAGAGTTTTTTAACAGACATTGCTCTATGCCCCAAACTCCTCTGAAAGGCTGCAAAACAGCACAGCCTTAAAATTCATTCATTAATATAACCGGTCCGTGTGGTTAGCAGCATATGACTCTGAGTGAGTCGCTCAGGCGGTGGCTTTGCTGCTTCTCGCGGGGACGGGCGTAACGTGGGGACAAGGCTTACGGCGCAGCGATGCCAGCAAGGTCCCCGGAGCAGCGCAAAGCCCCTGAGCC